GTATCGGGCCTTTATCGCATCGCATCGCTTGCCCCGTGATTCTTCAATACAGTGTATCAGTATCGCATTGGCAAAGCAATGCGATGCGATGCACCATAATTTGGTGGCATTGGTTTGCATCGCTTTCCGATACGATGCTGATGCAATGCATCACTTTTTCGATGCGATACCGATACATGGCTATTTATCGCATTGCATCGCATCGTTTCACCGTTGGTGTTAGTGTAGCGTAACACAGCATGCTTTTTTTGCCCTAGTGGCCCATTGTTGGTCCAAACCACAAATTTGCTCTTGCATTTAACAGTGGCTAAATTAGCTCAACAGAATGACTGTTGGGTGAAATCTAAAGATGGTTAGACCTCGCTATCTCATCACACCCAAACAGATCAAATCAGATCTTCTTTTGACCAGATGTTTTGTGCTGTAGTTTGTTACTGCTTATGAGTGTGAAGATGAGTCATGTAATCAATCATTTGATATGGTTGGACAGGCAATCTAATCTGTACACTGTACTAGGTTACTGTTTGGTATGTTATTGAAAGGCTTCAATAGCAGTTCATCAAGAATAACTGAGGGGTATGAATTTGGTGAAGATGGGAGTATTAAATGAGAATGAATTGCTATCAGATAGGTTTTGGGCATCTCCCACATCATCATACTGTCACATAAAATCTCCAGGTGAATGTAGGTTTCATGATGACCCTTCACCTATCTGAACACAAGCCCCACCTTAATCAACTTGAAAAGAAAGCCTCCAAAGGAGGGGCTTGGGAGTAAAGTGAGATTTTTGGTTTGAGAGTTTTTGATGTTCTGGTGGTGTTGGTGGGGGGGGATTGCCCTACACCTACCCCCCCCCCCCCCTCACATACAGTGTGGTAAATAATATTGTGTTTCTACACAGAAAAATATAAAAATTTAGTATTATCTCTTTATATATTATATATATGGTAAAAATAACATCAGAAATGGATTTCTCAGGTAAAATTACCCCTAGTCACCCACTACAACTGACCCCATATCTCTCATGGTTTAGAAGTTACACAGATTTCAACCTGTCACGGGATGTCTTTTGGATTCTTTACTCTCAGTATGGCTTGTTTTGAAAACTGGATGCATATTGAATATTGAATTCCTTTGTGTTGTATTGAATTCCTTTATTGGCAAATAGTGCATATTGAATTCCTTTGTAGGTGCACATGCATTCCTTTGTAGTAGGACCTTGTAGGCTAGCCAAATTCCCTCAAGGCAGTGCTCTCACCAGCCAATTTCCCTCACCTGCATGCATTAGACCAGCTAAATTTCCTCATTGGATCTTCAGGCCAGCTAAAATGCCTCAAAAGCCTGTACCCTGGGGCTAAAATCCCTCACATTTGTCTATATAAGGAGGCCTCTGCCTGCCAGTTGTTCCCTCCATCATCCCACCAGTGGACCAGATCATCTCAACCACCCTTACAGATTATATACAAGTGACAGCCATAACAATACATTATATTGAAATACAATCATAACACTTTCATCATCATAACAAGTGCCAAGTGCTCATAACCTGCCTCACATACCATTACTGGTTGAAGCATAGCGCTCCCAGAGCTCCAAGCCTTGGTTTTAAAGCTTTGAACAACAGCTTCATCAATATAATCATCACTCATTTATAACTTCAGACCTTATACACATCACTTGGAAGCTTCATCTTGAACTATCCTCTATCACGATAAATATAACTGCCAAGCTAAGCTTGGTGGTCTTGTTGTTCTGATAGCATAGAAGGGCAGAGCTTGCAACTCCATCATCCCCTTCTCCATTCAGCAAAAGGGTTTCATAACCACTTTTGAGTCTTACAACAGCCTGCCTGTTAGATCATAAAAACCAGAAGGATCTTGCCTACCATCCACCAAAAGATGGTGTAAGATTACGGACTCAGGAGACAAGGCTCCAAACCACTCTAACTACGGATACCTGTAAGCATATGCATACATGATTGAAGCACCCACTGTCCTGTGTAGTAAACTGAAAATCAATCTTATTGATTACAGCAACGACAACAGCAATCAGGAGGAAGAAAATTCAGAAGACCAAACAGAAAGGAATAGAAAGCAACCCACCAGGTAAGCTTAACTAAACCAGAACTGGAGGCTCATGGAATAGAAAAACTTATAAAAGCATTCTATCTTTTTCTAGTTGTTGACAACAGGAAAGAAAGCAGGAGAATAACCAAAGGCCATCCATCAGGAAAAGCCAAAGGTAAGTCTGACTGTAAACAGTGATCCAACAGTACAATTAGACTGAGGAGATGTATGCTGTTCTCTATGCTGTATAGTGAAAACGAGCTCATTACTTAGTCGTCTTGGTTGAAGGAGGAAAGGATCATCTCTGAAGCATAACCAAGTCTGAGTAAGAACTGTTCGCTGAGAGGAGACTAGTTAAATGATCAAGAAGCTAATGCGACTTAAAACCTCACTCACATTACCAACTTATGTAGAAAAGGGGTCATTGACTCTGTCTCATTTCATTCTATAGCTATCATTATAGCTCTATCTCTCTTTCTCTATCAGTATCTTCACTCCTGCTCCTAGGTTTGTTTCTAGCCTAGTTTTATTATTTCTAATAATTCTTTCCAATTTCTAGTCTTAATCTAATGAAATATATTCTAGACTTTTGGATTCTTTCAGATGGGACTCTGTTTTTCTTTCAAACATAATAGAAATCCCTTGTGAATCTCGTGATTTCATGGATCCAGGCCCTCTGTTTTCCTCAATACAGCCACATCCAGATCGTCCAGGCTCATGGAATCATTGACTTAAGGTGGTTAAAAGAAAAAAGAGAGGTCCCTTTTTTATCAGATGGTAGACAGTTTCTGCCTGGTTCTGATGATCCAACAGACGGCTCGTATGTGTGGGTGGAAGATGGGGGGGGGGGGGGGGGGGAAATGTAGGGCAATTTTCCCCCCCACTGGCCCAAAAACTCAAAACCTCTCAAGAAAAAAAAAAGCTCACTTTACTCCCAAGCCTCTCCTTTGGATGCTTGCTTTGCCAGTCAATTAAGGTGGGGCTTGTGTTAAGCTACTAGACCCTGCACTCTCCTGAAAGGTGGGGGTTGAAGCTGAGCCAAACTTGCTTTGTAGCCAAGGGGCAAACCCTTGAATTGGAAATCCACAAATCTATATCAAGTTCAAAAATGAAGCCCTTTTTGTTTAAAGACAATTCCTCTGATGCATATGTACAGTTGCGTACGGCATAGACCGACCATGCCCCGCCCGCAAAATCCAAATTGGACACGCGGGGCCTATGCCCCGGGGGGCATGTGCCCTGATACTTAATTTTATTACATTTTTGAACTTCTAAAGATGTGTAGAGTTCAAAATTGTAATCACTAAGGTTTTGAGTGAGTGGTTCATTTTTTTTTTTTTCATTTCCACATACATATAATCGGACATGCACAGATTAAGCCATACTTCAACCCATAGTTATGGCTTTAAGTGATACATAAATATGGTTTTATACTACTTGTACACCCTCACCATCTACTTTCACCGTTAATCTACTATTCTAGTGTATTTTTTCTACACTCTGGAGGCTACAAACAGCTCAAAAGGCTGAAAATTTCAAAAAAATCTGAAATTTTTGGCCCGACTATTCGGACATCCTGAAAATCCAGGGTCGGTTTTTGCCGTCCACAACTGTACACCAAGTTTTGAAATCTATCAATGTATTTTTATATATATATGAAGCAAGTCTATATATATCATCATCAAAATCAATCATATAAATGAATGTTGTATGCACATATGCACATGATAACACCAGATACCAAATGTACCCACAACACCACCATCATACACAACATGCACAGGATGAGAATGTACCTCAAATGAGAATCACACAAGAACAAGAACAACAGCGGTATGTAGTGGAGTTTATGGATTACTACCGTCAATCAAAAAAATGGTATGGATGATACATGAGCCAGAAAAATGAGAGAGTGAGAGAGACAGGTCGAAGTGATTGAAATGAGAGAAAAATACACCATCGGTTGATGGACAAGAGAACAAACAAAATCAGAGAAGAAAAAGAGAGAAAGAGAGTGGAGAAGACGAAAGAAAGGCCAATGGAGGATAAGGACAAGAAGGAGAAAGAGGGCGGAGGAGAGGCAGGGAAGTTACCAATTGGTCCATTCATTGAGGACTTTGTTGAGCAAGACGGAAGCCATTGAGTCAGTAGAAGGGATTTCAGAGTTGTTGGGAGGAAGGGAGCGGGAGCGGGAGTCCTGGAGAAGGAGTGTAGAGCTGGAGCGTCTATGGAGATGTGGGGTGATAGTTGATGATGGGGATGAGCGGAGACGGTCGACGGAGCGGGAGTGAGGGATCTTAAGGGTCGATGTGGCGCCGTACTGGCCGCTTTTCATCCGTCCAGATCCTTCCTTCCCATCGTTCTGTGTGCCGTCCTGTTCTTCTTCTTCCTCTCGCTCCTCCGTCGTCCGCCACACCGACTTGGAGCTCGGGGGCATGAACCCAGAAAGATCTAGCGGCGAACTGATCATGTCTTGCTCGTGCGTCAAAGACGTCCGTGAATCATCTCCAATTGAAAATCTTATGGGCGGCCGGGTCTTGGTTGGGGTAGTGCTAGCACTAGAACTTCTGTCACAGTGAATTGAAAATTACATAGATCAATTACAAGTGCTTTTTTTTGTCTTCACGGAAAAGAAAAGAGAACACTGACAAGTGATTGGTTGAATTTTTGATGGTTTGATTTTCAGGTGGGGTAGATAACATGTTCATAGTGTCAGAGTCGAGGTCGAGAAGTTTAGAGGCGACACTCGTCAAGAAGCTGATAGCGGCGATCCGATGCTGAGAGAGATGATTGATATTCTTATTATCCGAAGAAGCAGAAGAAGAAGAGGGGATGATAACGATGGGTGGTTTGGTTCTAGAAGAGGAGCGATGGGAAGATGAGATGTGGGTGATCCTAGAGCGACGGGAGGAACGACTGTGGGTCCGACGGGAGTGACTGGTGGGCTCGCTCCTTCTGGCTCGTTGTTGATCAGTCGAGTGGTGTGAGGATCTTGAGCTGACTCGGCCTGGTTCGTGGGTCGAGCCTACGATGGTACTATGGTGTGAGAAGCCTGCGGACATTGCCATGGGTGTCAGTAGTAATTCGGCATCTTCTGGAGACATCTCTTGGTGGGTATGAGTCCGAAGATTGGAGGATCTATTTTTTTTTAAATAAAAGCAAACATAAAAACAAGATCAGCATGACTGTCTCTGTCTCTCTATGTCTGCTGAGGGATGCTGACCTGCTGGAACCAGAACGAGTGATTGAGAGTGATGAGGGGATAGAGAGTAAGTCGTCCTCCTGAGAGTCGAGATCGGATAAGGAGGAAAGTGATTGAGTGGTGATAGGTAGGGGCAGGTTATGGGGGATGGAGTGATATTCGAATTCTGAGCCATCAGGTGAGAGTGAGTGATCAGGAGGTGAGAAGAAGTGCCCGCGTCCGTCGTGGGATGGCATGGAGGTATCGTGGTAGATCGAAGAGTGGTTGATCGATTGGAATGAGGAGGTTGAGGATGAGAGATGATCCTGATCTAGTTCTTCTTCTTCTTCTTCTTCTTGGATAGGGGGTGATGAAGATGGATCGAAGACGAGCCATTTTTGGAGTGGGTCTGAGATATAATTTTGTTCTTCCTCGTCTTCCTCGTCTTGTTCTTGCCCTTGTCCTTCTTCTTCTTCTTCTTCTTCCTCTTGGTTCCTGTTGATGAGTGTGTTCTGATTGGTTGTTATTGTTGCTATCGATGTTGGTAGTGTGGTTGTTGTTGTGGTGTTGTTGGTGTGGTGAGTAGTAGCAGTCATTGCAGTAGTAGTGTTGGTGGTTGTTCTGCTTGGGAAGGTATCCATGATTTTGGTTTTTTGAGGTCAAGAAGAGACCAAAGGGGCGAACTTGTCAAGTCTGCAAGAGAGTGCTGTGAGGTTCGATCGGATAAGAAAAAAAAAAAAAAAAAAAAAAGACTCTGTGTCCATTTACCCTGTTTGGGGTTGCTGTGCTTGTATGCGTTACCCTGTTTACCTAATCAACTGACCAACGAGGGTCCCGCCGTCACAACGTCATCAACCAGACCCGATGGATCAAAAGTCAGGAGAAATGACATCATCACAACTCAAACTCACTCCTATCAGTGGGGAACCACGTGCAACTAACGGCAAGGATGGCATCGATTCCCTTCCCCATGACCAGTCACCCTCTAATCTCGATCCCTCAAAGTCTCATCATCATACGACAATTTTGAACCTCACATGCATCCAACTTCTTTGCTACATACATACTACGGATCTCAAACTCAGACTTCTTTGGCGAGTGCTTTCCGATGGAGTTGGTTTTGGCTCTAGTATTGGCCCTGTCAGCCTCAAGCAGTCTTTGGGGTGCACTGCAGGAACTTTTAACAGTTTCAACAGAGCTCATGTGACCAAGTCCATCCATGCATATAGCCGGGACAACTTGCAGGAGACAAATATGAGAGCAGCTATGATCCACAACACTTGTGCCAGAAAATGATCAGACTTTGGCAAAACTTTAACAAACTGAAACCCTTGACTTACCTTATGTATTGGTGTAGCTCCTCTCTTCATGGTTTTGGCTATAAAGTCAGGTATAAGGTTTTTGCCATAAATTCTAAATCTCAAAGCTCAATTATCATTCATTATTTCTTTACATTCACTTGGGTATCATCTCAAAAAATACATAATTCCTGAAATTAGCCATGCATATTTCCTTTGGATATCTTCAAGTTGTACTACATGTCCTGTGCTGCTCACAAGTAGCTCACAGCATGCATCAGTCTTGGAATGATGCTATAGGGCTCTCAATACCCCAAAGTGTATTGAACCTGATTATATCATCTGTTTGTCAATATAACCAATAAAACTGATGTCAAGTGTGATGATTGCTATCTTTCTATGGGAAAAAAAATCACAGGATTGAATCCAGAGGTATCAGTTACTCAGATGAGGAGTGAAGCCACTGACACTGTCATGGCTGACCAAATCAACTTAAAATCACCAGCTGAAATGACTGAACTGCTCCTCAAATACCAACCACTCAAGGTGGAAGATCACATTGCAATATCCAAAAATGGTCAAGATTCTGAAGAGCTAGATACTTTGCAGAAGGGGATTGGAAGGGGTAGAGTATCATCAGGTAATCTCCTTTCACAGCTCTTTTTTTCTCTCTATAAAATTTGAATCACAAAATTAGGGGTCACCAAAATGAAAACACTCCTTTTTTTGATTGGAAATAATTATTTTTTTCCCCCAACTAGTAGGAATTAAACCTGACCAGAAAGGATATCTCAAAAACCTGACTAACAGACTTTCAATTTATCAGGAAAAAATTGGGGGGGTTTTGCAAGGAAAAACTGAGGAGCACAATGATTTGAAGAATGATTTTAAAGAATTGAAGGGTATTATCAATCTTCTTTCCACTGATTTCAAGAAACATGAGAGCATCAAATCAGGAACAAGAAAATCAAGCAGAATTGCCCAGATGAGAGCAAACTCTGAAAACAATGCAGATGTTTCAGACGCAATGCCAACCCTTAAAAAGATTAGATTATCTGGCCAAAAGATTTCAAATCATGGAAAGGGATTTTACAGGAAAGTAAAACATGAGAATTCAGCAGAATATTCACAATTATGGGGTGAAAAATCTAAGGATAAAATCAGTAAATCAGAACAGAAAAACACCCCAGCTATTTCAGAAAATTTGATAAAACAATTGGGTGCTTTATTACAGAATAATGACAAGATCAAAATGGGGGAAAGAAAAGGTTACTTTGATGATCAAGTAACACTTGATCTTCAAGAAATCATCTTGGATACTATAAATTATCTTTATGCATTTGAGTTGGTATCTTTGGAAGAGTTCAAAGAATTTTTTGAATCAGAAAAGATCCTTGGTATCCTTGGAATGAATTTGTTTTATCACATTTCATCAATAACAGAAAGACACCTTTACTATCCTGCAAGCTATGTTGTTCAACATATCTTGAATAGGAGCCCATATTTATATTCAAATTACAAGAATATTTTTGAAGGTAATTTATTTTCTGTTCAAGATTCTTACTTGTTTTGAAAGATTTGAATACCATTGATGATCATTAAAACCTTTCTTTTTTTACTTCTCTTTAATTTCAATCCCAGTTCTAAATCCAAAATCAAAGAGGCTCTTGAGTTATAAATTCACCAAGGAACATGCTTTCTATAGTGGAAAGTTAACTCTATATGGCATGGATATGGAATTTCTCAAAATAGAAAGCTTGAATGAGCAATTGGAAGCAGTTGGTATTTCAATCTTTAAAGATGATCAAGTATTTCATAAGTTAGAAGAATATTTGTTGATGTCGGAAGAAAATCAAAAACAATTCAGACAAGGATTTCAATTAAACTAAGAATTGAGGAACAGTTTTCAAGACTTATGCCTTCTCATACAAAAAATTGGTGAACAGGAAGGTAATAAAGAAAAGGCAATTCAACTGGCAACTCTGTTCATGATTGTAGACTTTTTCAAAGAGAATTATGGGGATTTCTTATTTGAAGGAATCCGATTGGGAGGAGAAAACTTGACGGATAAGTTCAAATCAATTTTGGGTTTGAATCATCTGAATGCAAAACTAGACAATTATAAGACATACTTCTCACTTGAAAGTTCAAGAAATATCGACAACAAATACACAAATAATTTTGAAAATCTCAAAGGGGAAGCTTTCTCTGTCTTGCATAGCTGGATTGAAATCATGAAACATCTCAATCAAGCTTACATTCTAGAAGAGAGATTTGACTACAAAGAGAACCCAAATGTTTACAAGTCTGATATGTTTTATAGGATTCTGGCATTGTATTCAGAAGTATGTAAAGTAAATGATTATTTGATTACACTTCCAGTGGACCGGTTACAATACAATGACAAGAAATTTAATGAATCTGAAATCTTCAAGGTTTTCCCCCATGATAGATCCTCCAAATTTAACATCTTGGATCCTGATTTCATATCTCACCTTCCCTCATCTTCATCAAAATAGATAAAATCTGAATTAACATATCACTTTGCTCATGATTATTCTGACTCTCTGTCTGGCACCTGCCAAATCTTTATCCCAATCCTTCTTCCTCTTTGTCCTGATTTTAAGATTATACACTAGCCTCCCCACCCATTCTTATCTGCTAAGGGCTAGAGATGTTTTGCTTTTTTTTTGGGGGGGGGGAGGGTCCTTGCTACTGCTGGATTGATTTTTTGCTTTTGTGATGTCTAAATCTTTTCATGTTTGAATTTTTTACATTCTTTCATCTTGGTTTGCTTTATTTTGTTACCTGATTGCAATTTTTTGGTTTGAGGTTTTCCTTATGGGCTACTGTTTTGGGCATTTGAATTTCGATGTCTGACTATTTTGGGATGTCTGTGATTTGTTGCTTCTTGAATTACTGTTTTTGGATTTCATACTGGTTGTTCTTTCATCTATCTATGCATGGTTTTTGAATTTGTCTCCAAACCCTCTTTTCCCTCCCGTGAAGTTTGATTCTTCACCTGGATCGTCTTCCTTAAATCTATAAATAGGCTTGCTGTCTTCTTTTTTCACATTTTCAAAGATATCAGAAGTGACAAAGGAAACAACACTCCAGGCTCAGCCTATGACAGAGCAATAGTTAATAAAAAAAGATCCAGCAAATAAAACCAAGGCACTTTTGCAAGTGCCCTAGGGGAGTTTGAAGATTATCACCAGTCCTTGGGAAAATATAGGTGTGGTAGGATAGTTCATATCAGCTTCATTCCATCAATGGACCGCTAGAAGATGCATGTTTCTAGCCAGACAGGTCAAGTGAAAGTCTTTCTACTAGGCAAGCTCATGTCTGAGACTGAACTAATTAGGACATCTTTTTCACATCTATTACACAATGTGAACCAATTTCTGAAGTTTTAATAGTCAATGCCATAAATTCAGCATCAAGGTGAAACATGAACCACCTTATTACTAGTAGCCCAGCGAGGATCAGCGTACACCTTAAGACTCTTGACATGTGTCGCAAACACGAGTATGAATCGGGTTGCGCATGAGCCGAATTACCGAGCAGAGATCTAATCGATCAAACGATTGACCTAATCCAATGGAATGTGTTGGTAATCATTTTGTTATTCATCAAGGTATTTCTTTCAAATAGCTCCCAAAGAAACCAAAAGGTTTATAAGAATACAACTTTTTTGTTTTGAAGGAATTTGAGGATCTAAAGATAAATTAATGTTGAGGTCCTTCCTTCAAACTCGATCGACCTGAAAAAACACGAGAAACAACATCAACTTAAGAATCTGTGTATTCCTCACGAGTATCTTGGTCTTGGCAATCACAAATTTAGACTTACCTGCTCTCATAATTTCATCAGTGACCAACAAGTTCATAGCAATCACCGAACAACTATGCAACAATTGGCGTTTGACACGATAGTTATCCCAAATGCCTTCCAGGATAGGATCAATTGGATTGCCTGTGGAAAGATCCACGCCAGCGGTTTGGACGCCACCTTCGTCAAGCGCATCCACCAAGCCACTAAGGACTTCCTGAACATCCAAGCCAGCGTTGGCTGCCAGCGTCTTGGGGATGACCAATAAGGCGTCTGCGAAGGTTTGAATTCCCAACTTTGCTCGTCCCTTGGCTTGTGATTTGACTGTTTGGGATAGGTGTCGCGAGCAAGCTAGTTCGAATGCTCCAGCTCCGGGGACAACTGCTCCGTCCTCAATCGCGTTCTTGACAGCCCTCAAACCATCTCGCAACCCATCGTGAATTTGAGTGATGGTGTGGGCATTTGGTCCTAGAAAGCCACAACAACGATTGAAAAATACACCAGGTGAACGAGTTTAGCCTTTATAATCCTTGTCAATTGGATGCATTGGGCTAAATATGAAGCGACTCACCCTTAATCAACAAAGTGACTGATTTCGGCTCCCGAACTTCCTCCACAAATGTGAACTTTTCCTCTCCAAGAGTATGCTCATAGACCAATCCAGCGTAACCAAGGACACTCGCGTCCAAGTCGTCAACCGAATTTTGGGATACGCCTCCACAAGCTAGCTGTAATCTGAAACGAAACAACAAAAAGATCATGATAAGCTACCAGTGCTGCTGGGCAGGCCGGCGTTCTATGTGGACAAATTACCTTTCCATGTTTCTTCGTTTGGCTCGCCTCAAAGCGAGAATTCCACTCTTAGCTAACATATCTAAGCTGAGAGGGTCGATTCCTTTTTGGTTCAAAATGACGAAGCCTTTTGGCTTCTCCTTTGGTTGTTCACCATTTGCTAGGGCCTCCAGATTAATTTCCGTGTCACAGACTCTTCGCTTCAATTCAATGATTTTCTTGACCCGATTGTCAATGAACTTTCGTTCAGACTCCACTAGTTTTTCTCGTTGTTCGGCGGAGGAATAGAAAAAGCCTGAGTTTACTTCCCTGAGGAGCGAAAATGCCCAGAGGGTTATACAAAGTTGTATCAATATGTCATCTAATGCAAGTGGAGTAAAGTGGAAAGGTATTTACGTTTTTTCATACTCCAGACTGACGTTGAGAGTCAGGATGAATGCGTTTTCCACTCGTCTGGGCATGTCTGGGTGTCGAGCTCCGTGATCAAGGACGATACCGCGGACCAATCGACTATCATTTTCAGTGCGATGTTGCATTTTCATAATTTCGATCATGTGCAAATCGATCGGTTCTGACTCTTGACGGATCGCCAGGACGGCATCAACCACATCAGCAGATAGCTTGTTGGCTAGCTTGGCATTCAGTTTGGTGGATAGCGCAGTACGAGCAATTGAGTGCAGTATAGAATTATCAGGGCCGGAGGGAATGCTTTGCTTGAATTCGTCAAGAAACTGTTGAGAATCGCGCGATTTGTGGTGATTTATGAATAAAGCAGATGTTAGCATGAGTTTGGCCTAATTGATCACGAGTGTTATCTTTTCCTTCGATCATCATTATTTTCAGGGAAATTTTGGGAGATCGGTACGTGCCTTGAGACTTTCAGCTTTTGCGACTTCGAGTCCCTCTGCGATTACTCTTGGATGAAGTCCTTCACTGATGTATCGCTCGGCTTGTTTTAAAGTTTCGCCTACGAGTAGTATACAAGATGTCGTACCATCACCAGTGGTTTCATCTTGGGCGGTTGCAGTTCGGGCGATCATTGCTGCAGTCGGATTCTGAATTTGCATTTCGGACAGCAGCACTTTACCATCCTGTGATAGATTTCAGTTTTCACAGACTGATTTCAGTCTTCAGAAACCATGGATGACACATATTGAGAGTGTAAATGTCTTTCTTCTGACCTTAGTCATTTTGATATTTCCCGCGCCATCGACCAACATCTTCAGGGTGCCTCTGGGACCTAAAGAAGTGCATTGAACGATATTAAAACAAAGCACTACCATGGACACGAACGAGGGACCTTTAAGAATCAGATGGTAATAACGGTACCTAAATTCGATCGGACTACATTCGCCAATCCAATAGCACCTGGTAACGTTTATTTTGGAGCAGAAAAAAAAAGGTTAGCTCGGCACCTCGAGTACAATTGATTCACGAGGTACAATGGGATCTTCCTTCTCACCAGTAATATTAACTTGCAAAGCTTGAGCCCTTCTGATAGTCTCAGCCTTAGGGTTGATAAGCTCAACGGAAGACCTATGGGAAGACAAACAGTTAACCATAGGCTGGCCATTGTTTATTCAGAGAGAGTAATGCTTACATGACGATTGATCGAGAATACTCTGTCGAAGGACTGTCGTTCTTTAGTGGTTAGTAGGAAACTTTCGATCGCTTCGATTGATGGAGGGATGCTTGGCCTTGGGGGGTCGGTCTGACTGCAGGACTCGATGACGACTGTTTCCAGACCAGACAACTTGTGGTTGGACCAGATTCCCAGAATGTGTTGCCCGTTCAAGCTGGCGCGATTACACAATCCGCACTGCGCACGGGGGCGTAACTCTGATGCATATGCGCCGACATCCCACTTCCGATCTCCAACCAACTTGCCAATTGCCCACATGATGTCACTGGTCACACCCAATGGATAACATGGTAGGAGCTCCTAACTTGAGTCAATTCACTCCATGTTGGGAGAAAAGAAGCTGTCTCGCAGGGAGCCTTCACCTTTAATCAATGTCTGACCACCTCCCAAGTGAAAGGGAGGGAGGGACTTTGTTAATTTGGGATCAGCTCTGTGAAAGTGATCCTGATACATCATTGGATAATCCATTTTTACTATTTGCTCTCAGCTGGATGTTCTTGCAAGCTCATAATGCGGGTTCAGCCTTGCCTTGGACGCTTCAGTCATCGAAACGTAAAGGCTGGTAGAAACGCATCACCATATAAGCCCACGGTCACAAGCTTGCTTGGGCCTCAATATCTTTCGGAAAATGTATGCCTGCATCTGTCTGCTGTTATAGCCCACCCACAACACACACGGATTCACATTTTTAAAACAAACCATGCTACCCACTTGATCTACCTTGAAGGTGAAAAATTCTTGTTTTTTTTCCAACAGTTGCTCCGAGTGCGCCCTCAGTTATCGCCTGAATAGGCACCCACTTCAGGACCACATCCATCCCACACCTTTGATCCTCTTGTTTCAATATTGGATCGCATCCTACTTGTCGGATGCCATTTATCCAACTCTTCTCAACTCTTCAATTCAAAATACCCAGAAGACCCGCCACCCCAAGCACTGGCTTTACTGCGCACCAATTCCTCTCTTTCTATTAATTAAAATCAAACCTTTCTTGGTGGGCTGCACATCGGTCAGATATTTTTGACTGCCTCCTCTTTCGCACCAGCTTTCCTCATTTCTCTTACTGCCTCATTTGTCACCTGGCCAGGTAAGTTAGTTTAAGTTTCGAGGTGTGTGTGGCTGTCGCGTTATTTCAAGCCTGAGCTGAACAAAATAGTATACATTATTATGCCTCTTCTCTCGCTTGGTCTTGTCCCGGTTTATGTCAAATTTTGATTGAAACACTTTGATTTCTGCTTGTAGTCTGAAGACCAATGACTGCCGATGAATTGTCCTGTGTCTAGATTTCTGAAAGCCTTACCATATTGTGAAAGGCTAGCTTGCCATGGCTCATTTATATCATACTATAGCTCAACCATATATAGCTCAAGTCTACCTTAACATATTTCATGTATGTAAACAGATTGTCATGAGATTTAATTATGCACCCAAGTGTTTTATTGTTAATGGATTGTGCTCACTCAGGAAAGCCCTAAATGATATATATAAGGTAAATTACATGGAAAATGAGGACCATATCATGATTTACATCAGGGAGCTTTGCCATCAGCTTGATTTTTACATCATGGAATGATTCTATTCAACAGTTATGTGAGATCAAATTGTGAATAGGAGAATTAAAGCCCATTTAATTTGATAACCTTCAAAGATTTTGTATGAATTGAAACTGGATAAGAAGAGCCTTCAGGTCACTTGGAAAAAAATGTGGCATTTTGACAGAAAAAAAATGTAACTAGTCAATTAGCAGGTTTGATTTTTTCCTCCTCACACTTTCTATGATTCACTGCTGAAATAACAAATTTGGAATACTCTTGATCAGTTTTGAAGTACTCCTTCCAAAACTTTGAATTGATTACTTTGAACCAATAACTTATAAGTACAATAGCAGCATATTGATATTTGTATGGATATTTTTTGGAAAAGACCAGCATGATGAAAGTTTGTATTTCATCAAATTTTGGGGTTTTTCCTTCCTTGCAAATTGATTTTTCAACTTTACCCACCACTGGAAGCTGTAGATTTGAATTTGTACCATATAAGTTTCCTAAAATCCAGTCTAAAAGTTGATTTTGAGTTGGTGATTCAATTTTTAACCCTATGGAGCAAGCATATGAAAATACACAATCTGAGTGATATTCTAGGCTGCTGATGAACTTCTTCATCATTAATTTCCATTCCCTTTCACGTGCTATATATTTACAATCTGATGATAATAGCATGACATGAAAACTGTTTTCATCCTTTCTATGCATTGTAAATGCAAAGCTTGTACCTTTTATTATTTTGTGAACTCTCTGTTCAACAAAACGGATTCCACTTAATATATTTGAGTTTCTTTGAAGTATTGATTTTGAAACAGCATCTTTTGCACTGGGTATATCAGAAAAAAATGAATCTTTCATCCAAGTAGGAAACTTGATGTCTTCTTCATGATCATTTCCTGCTTCCACTGCCTTTCCAACTTTCTCATAAGCTCTAGTTAAGAAACAACTAAGTTTTTTGAAATCAAAATTTGCACTGGATTCCAATGTATCATAGTCTTCCTTGGGAATAATTGGTACCTGCTGCTGAATCCTTGAGGACTCATCAATTTCCAAAATTTGCCTTGAATTATAACATGTATATTTGAACCAAAGTTCAGAGATTTCTAGGGATATTTTCTGCAGAGATTCTGAACCATGTAGCAGCTTTATTATACAAAGCTGGACTTCCCCAAATTGAATGCCATCAAAAACTTTGATTTTTGTCTTTCCTAGGACAGGAATTCCATGCTTAGGATTGAACACCTCTCTAAATAGCCAATTATTCAATTTGTGGCGGTCCACAACTAGATTAGAATGGGAGTGAAAGTTTCTGCTAATGCTTGTCCAGATGCCCATGTGCTTAGTGTTTAGCCAGGTGTTTAAATTCTTAAATGCTTTGTTCAACATGTAAGGATAGTACACATTTCCTTCCAAATCCAAAGGAAGTATCAATGATATGGGATCTTCACCATTTGAGCTCATAACTGGGGCTACAATTATTTTAGCTGGCCAGTTTCCAATTCTATGAACCACAGATGTGGGTAAACCATGAAGGGCCTGATATACACTACTGATAGCAAATTCAAAGGGCTTTTGATATGCATTATCTTCTTCTTGAATTGAGTTGTCCGATTCAGAATGAGGGGTTCCTGATGGGGGTTTCTTGGAAAAGCGAGGTCTTTCTCCAGAACCATGAATTCTTTCATCAACCAGACTGTGATCGGATTTTGATTTCTTATGTAATCCTTCATTTTGGTGTATTTGTGCAGTTTGGGTTTGCTTATTTTTCCCTTTCTGCTTTGTATCTACTATGGTACTATCTTTCTTTGCTCTTTGAACCCTCTGATGTTCAATTACTGTTTTTTGCTTTTCATTCATAACACCTTCATGAAAAAATCCCTGTATCCCGTTTGATCCAGAGTTGGTGAATGGAATCCTTGGGGGAATATCTGAGTGAATTGCTTTTTTGTTTTTTAATTTATTTGATTCTGGACAGTTGTAGAGTTGATTATCCTTATGAGGTCTATAATGATTTTGTGTATCATCATGGAGCCCACTGTCCCCAGATGCACGTGAATTCACAGGATCAGAGGAAAACACCCTTATAGATTGAGATTCTAACCCTGTTGGGAATGTGGACTTCATATTGTCATCCTTTCTTCCCTGGATAAAAGAGGGCACCTGAGGCTGAACCCAGAAGGAATCATCAATGGTGAAGATTTCCTCCCACCTATCAGATGTGCTCTTGAACCAAATTCCTAAGATTGCCAGGGATACTGTATGTAGAGATTCCAAACCTTGGAGAAGCTTGATTATCCAAAGCTGAACTTTTCCAAATTGAACACCATCATAAATCTTGGTTTTTGTCTTTCCTAACACAGGGATTTCATTCTGGGGATTGAAGACCTCCCCAAAGAGCCAATCAATCAATTTGCAAAAATCAAAGACTAAATGAGGGTGGGCAGGTAGGTTTCTGTTCAGGTGCTTCCAGATGAAACTGTGCTTCTGGTTTAACCATGTGATTAAATCTTTGAAAGCTGTGTTCAAAATATGAGGATCATAGATGTTTCCCTGTGAATCCAAGGGGATTACCAATGATGTGGGATCTTGATCATTTGAATTTGGAAGTTGAGCTACAATGATGTCAACAGGCCAATTGCCAATTCTCTTCACTGTGGCTGTTTGTGAACCATGAAGTTCTTGATATACATTGTTGATGGCAATGTTGTAGGATATTTGATGCTGATTAATTTGTCTTTGGCCTGAGCTATCGAAGGCAATTCTAGAGGAGCTCAAAGGAAAATTATGTGGTGGCACAGTTGTTTCCATAAATTCATGAAATGTTTTACTACTGGGATGTGATTGGCATTGCTTCCAGGATTCATCATGCAAATGAAGTTGACAAGGGCCAGGTTGATCACCAATCCCATTCTTTTTAGCTGTAATCGGCTGGCCACTCCTGACTTCTGTTTCTTGCTGGCTTTCTGTGCCCATTGCAAAAGATTTGGGAAGCTCCGCGTGATCAAGTTGTTGTTTAGGAACTTCAGGCAAGTGGGTGTCGAGATGGAAGCGGGAAATCCTAGGTTGACCGTCTTGACATTGTCTTTGCTTCTCCGTCACTATAGACCTGCCATAGCATGCTCGTTTTGCTTCGCGGCCCTCAGTGTCACTGGCCTGACTCGGTTGATGACACTCACTGGGTGGTAGTGCATTCGGAAGACCAAATTCTTTTATCAAGCGTGATTCTGATTCAGAGGCTGATGCGGACATCCCATTCGCCTCGGGCATTCCCAACGGATCAACTCGCCCTCGCTTCGATGAATTTTGCCCTTCGCGGACGTAGGACCGGCCTCCGTTTTCTGGCGAAGTTAGTCCAAACTCGGCACTTCCCTGGAGATATTCATCCACCAGCTGATGCCATTCTTCATCATCCGGGGAAGCCGCTGTTGAGATTTCGACGCACAGAAAGAAAAAAAGAAAGCGAGAGCATTTCATGCTACGCGAACGAGGCATGTAACTACTAAAGAATGGTGTTGAGCGTGAGACGGCGAGGCCAGGCCGTCGTCGCTTTATGTAGTCGCCCGACTTTCGAACTACAGCGGCTTGCCAAGTTACATCATATGAAATATTTGTTCAACTGCCCATGTTAGATGACCTGTAAAATCAAATCTTGTTGAGGAGGACTATCTGGCCTCGCAGACGTTGCAATTACGATCACAGATACATAAACAAACAACCTATCTATCGGCGACACCAGTATCACATTTGTTTCAGGTTCTGGGGTGGCAGGTTTGTCGGTTTATCCTCACAGAATGTTTGGGAGACATTTTCTGACACCTATGTAGCAGATCAAGTAGTCGGGTGTTAGAAACTTAACTCATCACGGTTCCTTTGTGCAGAACTTCATCATCAGCATCAGCTTTGTATTCTCAGCAGTCAGTATCAATATGTATGAAACCATGTGAGCGCCTTCCACGTGGCGACAGACAGCAATTGTTTCATCGGGGGATACCGCTCAAATGCGTCTGCAAGTGGATCCGCCTCATTTTATCCGTACTCTCTCGAGTCGAGCAGGATGTATTATGAGGTGGCTACTTACCTAGGATGAAGGGGTCAGCGGGTCTGGCCTTCCTACATATATAAACGATGGGGACAGGGATCCGATTCTAGAATCTGGGAAAGGTCTTGAAGAAAGCTACCTCTGTCACGTGTGAGAATAACACATTTACTGAACACATAACATGACTCGTTACCTCACGACAATGGGGCTGGATTGGGCATAAGGATGATCATATTGGGAAGCTCAAGTTATCATGTATAGTTACGATAGTGCAGTGAACAGTAAAGTAGACATAGTTGGTGTTGACCAATTTATTTCAGAATTTCATGCGGTGAGGGAAGTCGCCGTTAGACAAGCCAAAAGGTGTGGCCAAGTACTTGGCAAGAACAGGGGTTTGTGCGATGGCGGCAATGAGCGATTTATCAACCTGAGAGTCACGGCCCGCGACAAAAATAAGGAGATAATTAGGTGGGCCAACAGACGGGATGTATAATTGAGGAATGCTTACGGTCTTTTGGTCAGCAATTCGGCCATCAGGGCATTTCTTTTTCTCCCGCTCGCCGTTTTCAGCAAAAAATTCCTTGGCTTTGGCTCGTTGGTCTCGGGTCTTCTTCTCCTTGGCGAAGTAAGCGTCGTTGAACTTTTCATCAAGCTGCAGGGTAGACCTATCAATACGGATACTGTCAAACAATATAGGGAATCGATGTTTACCTTGATTTTGGAAATATCAACCTTGGTTTGTGTGGCGATAACGTAAGCTTGGTTGACACGCCTCAGGGGAACACCGTTGACCTTGAAGGGGCCGGAGATCATGAGAAGGCCACTTTCAAGTTGCTTCAGGAATACGGCACGCTTGCCACGGAACCGACCGGCAAGGATGATAACAACAGTGCCGGGTGTCAATGTGGAGCGAAGACCCGGAGCACGGTGGGCTTTGCGGGGTTTCTTGGGCTTCGATTGCACTTCAGTGGGGTAGAAACGGGGAGCCTTGTGTACGGGAACAAGACGTTCACCGCCGTTTTTAGCACCGCCAACCTGATCATGGGGGAAAATGCGTTTTCAGCAAATGGGAAGGGTCAAGCGAGTTAATGAAATGCAGGCAGTACCTTCACGGTCTTGGTGGCAGCATAGTCGACCTCTGGCGCTTTGGTGCTCGGGATCGGCTTGTGAGGACGTTTGTAAAGAGCCTTCTTGGAGTACAACTGCGATTTGCTAAGTCGGTTGACGTGAGGCCCGATGGCCCGGTTTCGGGGTAGGTTCTTCTTGGTGGTGACGGCCATTGGTAGGATCTAGAGAAATCCGGGGAGATGGAAGAGGGAAAGGTTGTCAGAACCAAGGGCCAGCTGCATCTCTTTGCCAGCAGCGTTGGCCCTGGCTATTGCGTCACCCGTGCCGAGGCAGATGGGGAGCTTCAAGACGAGTTTCGACGTTGGTCAATATGACCAGTCAAGACCGAAGAGATAGGACGCACCGGAAGTTGTTGATCTTGAAGGCCTTGAAGTCTTGAAGGGTGGTGGTTCCGATCCGGCGTACGGGTGGCCCGGCTTGCCGAGTAGAAGCGTGGATATCAGTAGCCCACCCCGCCTGGTCTCACCAAATTAAACCTATCCGATTCCTCAGCAAGGGGTAGGCGTGGCGCCGCAGCAATCCATAGTTCTTCATATTGCATATGAACACCGATCTTCGAAGTTCGCATGCGCCGGTTGCGGGCAGGGTGCCGCTCCGAACGCGTCCTTTTCGGATCAACCGAGCGGACCTTAGGGCCGGATCGGGCTGGTGCCAAAGCAGCTCCAACCCGAGATCTAAGTGGGTTTTGGAGGAGAGGCAACCAAATCAGGGGTGAACGTTCAGCTTTGAACAGTCAACGTGGTCTGGACCCCATGGTCTTTGCCCAGGAGCTTCTGTCCTGGAATCTTAGGGAAAATCCTTGCAGACTTTGGGATACACATGAGCCTCCGTCAGTCCTTCCAAACTGATCTGATCATCAGACAATCAAAGGGAGTAACAGGCAAGCCTTTGCCAACCTTTTCTGAGTAAGAATGATAGCCCTCATTACTCAAGTTGATCTGAGGCTACCCAAGGATACCTTTGGGATGGTCCTGGGACATCCAATATCCAACCCTGTGGGCATGGATTAGAACCCTAGTTGTGGGTCAACCAATGGATATCAAGCTTGGGTTGGTCTGACTCTTGTCAATGATGGGCCAGCTAGGTGAATAATGTTGATTTAGACTTGTTTGGGGGTACCCGGTGCTCAGCCAGGATAAAGCAAATGATAGTGGTTTTTTGACCGTTTTTGCCGCTAAAAGCACTGTAACACAGGATAGTGTGACTAAAGTAACAGTGCACTAACACTGTAAGAGCTTGAAGATAGTTCTTCACTGTTTGGTTGTACAACAGATTGGAGTCTGAGAGACAGGCAATGTGTCTGGGAGGGATGTTTAATAACCAATGTTATTATTGCTAGCTCAATATATGGTTAGTAGGATATCTCTACTGAGCTAGAAGGCGAGTGTTGGAGGGTAATTAAATGGTGTTGAGTTTAGTTTTGTCAAAAAAGAAGGTAAGAACCAATGAGGCTTGATTTCTTGTGACTGGCTAGGTTTGAGCAGGCTACGTGAAAGATGATCAATGTGTGGTTTTTACTGATGAATATGTAATAATCAATAATGTTTAATGAATATCCCAAACAAAAAGATAAGTTCCAACAAAGAGTGTTGATAAAGGGCTACTCCCAAGGGTTCAATGACTACAAAGACGTCCACTCAATATACAAATCAGATTGGATTACAGACTATAATCTATGAATTTCAAGACAATCAAAAAGTGAAAATATGAAGTAAGATGAATGAGTCATGATTAAAAGGAGAAGGGATCAGTCAGAATTTTGACAATCATGTAAGATTTGGTGATAGCTCATGTGAAAGCCAGAGGGGCTTCACAAATGCAAAACACTACAGGGTTGGAACACTGTTTTAAGGGCCACTACAATAATGTTAGTCGGCTGTTTAGTGTAGTTTAGTGTAGTGGCCCATCACTTGTCCTGGCACCCTCTGGACCAAGCTGAGATCCAAATGTGTTGTTGAAATTTCACTTGACCTCTCTCTATTTTTTATTATATTTCACAAACATGCACCAGGGGAGTTTGCTCAGCACCTGCTTTCAAGTGCCATCAGTGAGCTCGGTCATAGATCTGGTTGGAAGCTTGTTACAACACATGTTGATATGTACCAGAGATATGTACCACAACCTGGTTACAAGACATGTTGATGTGTACCACAACTTCTATTGGATATATCATGGAATACATGTGTAGAATGTACCCCAGACCTATGCTGAAACCAAGTTCAACTTGACAGCAAACAGTTCTTTATCCCAAGCTTTGACCAAGCTTGCAATATCTTGACCGATATGATTTCCCACCTGGTTGTGAGGCACTATCTCGGTAAGATACTCTGATTTTTTTTTTTTTCAAGAGCCCACTAGTTACGAGAAAGCTTGTGAGTTAAACCAGCCCTTGCCAATGCTTATATCATGTGATTGTCATGTACACACAACCTTCATAGTTAGTGGCTACCAGACCTCCTAACCTTTTGGTAATGTCTATATACTAAAGAGTATGATAATTGAAAGCCAAATGCTGAACTCATTCCATTGGATTGATCTGTGGACCAAATGTAGCAGTTGGCCGATTGGCCAAACCAATCCAACAGGTGCTGGAGTTTGTTTACCGAACTTTCCAGCTTACATGACTATATCATGCAATGCCCTGCAGCAAATGTGAGTGAGTTAAAATAAGCACCAAAGGCTGTGTTTTGTGAGTAGTTGTAAAGGGTGTTTCCGAAAAACTTTCCAAATTCTAGATAAGAGAAAGGTAACAAATACAACCATCCCATCCTTATTCCAACCCCCACATCCTTCACAACCTCAAATCGGTCTACTGATTTTTCTATCCAACATGTCAAACACACTATGCCTGGGTCAATTTGTCACACGTCTACATTCTCCTACCTCAGATTCCCTCCCTGATCACCCACAACAGGCCTTCCTACAACGAGGAACAGATCGAGTGCATGTGTGGTGTTACCCAAGACGATTGGTTGGAGATCTCAGTCAAGTTCAAAGCAAGTTCCTTGGTCCATTGTTAGGTCGGGTGGGCAGCTGCTCAACACCAATAACAGAAGAAGGAATGATCTCTTCTGAAAAATCCCTGATAAAGATTCGAGCTTTCCTTGTTACCAAAACCTGTAATGATCCTCAACTGAGGGGTTGCATATTTGGTCTTGACTCAAACAAGGCCACTATTTCATCAGCTTTCTCTCGGGCACAAATCAATCTCGCTCCCATCTGGAACTACGATCCCAGCCTCTTTTTCAATATCCCCCAAACATCGTTTACACCAACCCTCACCAGCACGCCAGAAGAGGATGATTCTTTTCGGTCTACTCTCAAAAACTGTGTAACCACCTTGAAAGACCACCAATACACAGCTCTAAATTTCCTCAAGAGAAACGAGTCTACCCAACAAAACACAATTGAAGACTTGTGGAACCACCCCATCAATAGTTGGATACGACGATGTAGTAACCCTTCTGAACTACGACTTGACGAACCAGACCAATTTACTAGCCGAGGATCCATACTTGCTGATGACATGGGCTTAGGAAAAAAGTTAACCAGCCTTGCGTTAGTTCTGGCAACATCTCATTTGGCAAAACGATTCCAGATGAGCGGTTCCGACAACCATCTAGTTCGATCTTCAGCCACTCTGATTATTTGTCCGTTAGCAACCTTGTCAAACTGGGAAAATGAGATCAAGATTCACTTTGACGGGGGAGCCTTACCTTACTGTATCTTTCATGGAAGAGACCAAGGAAGAATTGACAGAGGATCGCTATTGTCATCGCTTGTTGTTTTGACAACCTACGAGATGGTTGGAACATCTGGAAACCCACTGCATACCAATCAAATAACCATTGAATCCCTGGATATCTGTTGGTTCAGAATTGTATTGGATGAGGCTCAGTAAGTAAAAATAACCTGGTGCATGTATTGAGTTATCAGTTAATAACAAGTCTGACATTACAAATCATGTAGTATGATTCGTAACCCAACAGCCAACAGGACTTTGAACATTCAAAAGCTGAAGTCAAGATTTATCTTATGCCTGACGGGAACCCCGTTCCAGAATCGACTCACCGATGTCCAAAGCTTGATACTTCTATTGAAGATTTGGCCTTGGAACCAGGAGTGGATCTGGAAGTCACACCTTATACCTGGAATTAACGTTGGATCCCAAGAAGCCATTCAGACATTGAACCGCTTAATGGAAACTGTATGCTTGAGGAGGACAAAGGATGTGCTCTTGAATTTGCCTTCCAAGATAGAAAACGTGGTTGTTGTGAGCTTGGGTGGCCCATGGGATGATTTCTCAAGAGAGTTTCACCAATCATTCATTCAGTACTTTGGACGGCTTTGATCATCCGGCGAGCCATGGGATTCGACTGAATTTTTCAAACAGCTGACAATGATACGGCAGTTCTGCAATCATCCGATTTTTGCACGTGACGAAATTCCTCACCAAAAGAACTGGCGATGGCAAGACTCTGCAAAACTGGTCCATCTTGTGGATAACCTGGAGCGATTCTTGCGGGGTGGAAGGGGGATTTTAAGGCCCAAAGCAGTAGTATTCTCGAGCTTTGTGGCTTTTCTTGAGATGTGAGTGATATTCTTCATTGGATATTTTTTCAAAGAGGCTAAATAAAGACTGATGAGGTATGACATGATGAAGAATTGAAAAGGCACTCAAAGAGAAACAAATGGGTTGCACATGGCTTATAGGGACCCTGGGTATAGCAAAACGAGATGAGAACCTGGCTAGATTTCGAACAGATCCCAACTGTAACATTCTTCTAGGCTCAATACAAGCGGCGGGGGTAGGAATTGATTTGAGGTGTGCACAAAATGTGTACATGATGGTAAGGAGGAATCATTTCTTCTGTGTAACTAAATATGCTGATAAGAATTTCAATGTTCAAGGAACCGAATTGGAATCCGGCCATGGAAAATCAAGCTGTAGATCGTCTCTATCGCCTTGGACAGACAAATGAGGTTCATGTCTACCGATACTATGTGCAAGGCAGTCTGGAAATGAATATACATCAGGTAAAAAGTAGGAAAGGGGAATTGGCAATGTAAGAATTCAATGGTCTCTCTGTATCCATACATGGAGTAGTTGACGTATTCTTTGGGACGTACTTGATTTTGAATTTCAGGCTGAGTGTACCATCGCATGGAAATGAGGATTATGAGTGTGCACAGCTTCTTATGAGTAACATGTTAAATTAGGGTGCAATAAGAAGATGATTTACTTACACGAAACTTTGGTCAAGGACAATAAATTCTGAAAATCTATTGGTGGCTTGGGATTTAAAAGTTTGACATCGAGCTCAGACAAGGTGGCTAGGTATTCTTCTGCATAGCAGTTTCTTGGTAGATTGCGTGGAACATTGCGGAAAGATATTGCGACCGAGGATGTTGAGGTAGCTCGCTTATGTTCAAGACTAAATGAATTGACAAAGTGTAGTCCTTTAGTATTGTGGGTTTTGTGGATCTTGATCTTGTCCAGTTGACGGGCCAGGGTGTTGAACTCTTCTGAACGCCAAGGGAGGGGAATTTGCCTGACTGTTTCGCCTGGGGTGGCTTCGGTCTCGGAGCAACACTTGATGTTATCAAAGAGTTCCATCTTGGTTAGGGATACAGACAGTTTTGAGAGGGTCTCCTGTCTATGCTTCTGCAGCTAAAAATTAGGATGATGTTTTTCTTCAGTAATAGCCCAGATGAAGTTGACTTTTGAGAAAATTCTTACTTGTAATCGTAATTTGGATTTTTTTTCAGACTTCTTCTTTTCATTCCTACGTTCAGCAGAGAACTTTCCCAACCAAAGACCATCCTTCCGTCCCAGAAACCATCGGTGTAGAATACCAGTGCGTATGATCTCTTCAGAAGTTTCTGTAGGATCAAGGTGGAAAGCTTTGAATGCCCCAGCCTTGAAAGCGTGATTCCAGTGTTTGAGGACAAATTTCGAGAGCAGTTGATTCCACTTGCT